CTCCGTCCCGGAAACAGTTCCGCTCCACTTCCGGCGCGCAGGCTGATGGCGTCACGGAACGCACGTGGGAGACCTCGTTACTTAAAGACACGTGGACGCCGAGCGCGCCTGCGCTTTGAGGCTTCCCTTTGGGATCGACGTACTTCTAAAGGGAATCCCCTTCTGTTTTTCCTCGGACTCGAACAGCGGCCCAATTAGGCTCCGATCCGTCTCCCCTATTGGGGAGGGGCGTCCCCTCCACCCCTCCATTAAGCCCCCTCTTCACACCTCCCATTAACTCCACCAACTCCTAGTGTATTGCTTGTTTCTGGGCTTCTGATTTTGTCAGCTGCCCAGAGTCACCCACTGGGGGAGATGGGAGGCATACAAATTCAAAAATAAATAAGTAAATAAATATAAATAAATACATTTATTTTTACATTTTGTTAAAATCAGCTTGGATATTCTTAAAAGGAACCCACTTTCCATTCGTCTATCCCAGCGTTTCTCAACCTGGGCCACTGTGGACTTCAACTCCCAGAATTTTCATGGATTTCCAAATCCGTAAAGACAGACAAAAAAAATTGTGCAAATGCGCCAAAGCCTTCCCAACTATCAACTCAAGGGCTCTGGTAAGTGTATTTGATCTGCTCCAACAATTCAATTTTTATACGCATTGCTCAAGGAACGGAGGCCCAGAGAGAAGTGATTCTAATGTTCAAAATATTCAGATTTTTAGCTGCCGTAGTTGAAACTCGACTACTTCAAAGCCTGGAATCAAGGCTTGCATTTCGCCTAGCTCCCCATGTAATTAAGCAGGAGGCATACTCTACTCCAGAGTGACACAAACAGTACCGCAGTGGTCCACGAACTCAGGCACAAGGAATTTGGAAGAATCAACCAGCCACCTCCAACAGCGTGTAAAGAAGTATACTTTTATTTATTTCTTTTGAATTCCACTCTACCCAGACTAGAATAGGGGGCTAGTCAAAAAGCCCAAAGCCCATGTCTTCATCAGACTCTTCAGATTCTTCCTTGGCTTCCTCTTTGGCTGGAGCTGCTGCAGCAGGGGCCAATGCTTCAGTCACTGCTGGGGCAGCAGCCACAAAAGCTGACGGATCGGCCAGGAAGGCCTTCACCTGCAAAAAATCAGCAAACATTCAGGCACATTCCGGTGCCAAAACACTCCTCTAGAGCTGGCGGTTTCTGAACCAGCTTGCTTTCCCAGACTTTGTGCAGAATGTTTTTTCTTCCAAATACCATTATTAGATTTTAAGATAAGAAAGATAAAAAACTAACAAAAACTAGTATTAAAACCAGTAAAAAACAGAGTAAAAAAAGAAGAAAAACATATTAAAAACAGAGTACGAAAGAAAAAATGAAAAAGAGAAAGAACAAAGTCAAAAATGCAGAAAGGAAGAAAAAAAGAAATACAAAAAAGAATGACTTCTGACTTTCCTCATAACAGATAGAAGTATAAATTTACACTAAATGCTTACTCTTCAGTTTATAACATAGCTTTCATTTTTTCTATAGTCCACTATTATTTCTAGTCATCAAATCCATACATAATAATTTCATTCTTTTGTTTCATGCAAAAAGTCCAAAACAGGCTTCCAATTAGTGTTAAACTTTGTACAGAATGTTTAAAGGCCTGTGGGCACAAGGAACTGAGCCCAAACAAATAAAAAGCAAGCAATCCAAGTAGGATGGAAACTAGCATCAGCAGACTTACCTCTAGAGAAGTGTTTCTCAACCTTGGCAACTTTAAGATGTGTGGACTTCGACTCCCAGAATTCCCCAGC